TAAGGATACCCACTTTTGCTACTTCTATTCAACATAGTACTGCAAGTCCCAGCCAGAGCAATTAGGCAAGAAAAAGAAACAAAAGGCATCTAAACAAAAACAGAAGAAGCAAACTGTCATTATTTGCAGATGACACATTACCTATAGAAAACTCTAAAGACTCCACCAAAAACTGTTAGAACTAATAAATGAATTCAGTAAAGTTGCAGAATATAAAATCAATATACAAAAATCTGTTGTTTCTATATACTAACAACAAACAGAAAGAGACCTAAGAATCAAAAATTATAAATTTAACCAAGGAAAGGAGTAAAAGACCTGTACACTGAAAACTATCAGACATTGATGAAAAAAGTTGAAGACACAAAGAAATAGAAAGATATTCTGTGCTCATGGATTGGAAGAATTAATATTGTTAAAATGTCCATACTACTCAAAGCAATCTACAGACTCAGTGCAATTCCTATCACAATTCCAATGGTATTTTTCACAGAAATAAAACAATCCTAAAATTTGTATGGAACCACAGAAGACTACAAATAACCAAAGCAATGAGAATGAAGAACAAAGCTGGGGACATCCTGCTTCCTGATGTCAAATTATATTACAAAGCTATTATAATCAAGACAGTATGGTATTTGCATAAAAACAGACATATAGATCAATGGAACAGAATAGAGAGCCCAGAAAAAAACCCCATTTACAGGGTCAATTAATTTATGACAAAGGAGTCAAGATTACACAATGCAGAAAGGACAGTCTCTTCAATAAATGGTTGGGAAAACTGGACAACCATGTGCAAAAGAATGAAACTGAGCCACTATATTTCACCATACACAAAAATCAACTAAAAATGGATTAAAGTCTTAAATGTAAGACCAGGAACCATAAGACTCCTAGAAGAAAACAGGGGTTAAGCTCCTGTACATTGGTCTTGCCAATGATTTTTTTAATTTGATACCAAAAGCAAAGGCAGCAAAACCAAAACTGAAAAGTAGGGCTGCCAAACTAAAAAGCTCTGTATAGCAAAGGAAACCATCATCAAAATGAAAAGGCAACCTACCGAATGGGAGGAAACACTTGCAAATCATATGTATCTGATAAGAGGTTAATATCTAAAATATATGAAAACCTCAGACAGCTCAATAGAAAAACAAACAAATAATCCAATTTAAAAAATGAGCAGCAGCTCTGTAGGTAAGCCGACAGTTGGCATTTCTTTTTGTAATGGAAGTGCATGACTTAAGCTTTGACTGACCAGGCATCCTCTTCAAAGAGATACCCATTTTAAGGAAGGCTGTCTCAAATAAACACATTGTCAGCCACACAAGTAGATAGAAGAGACAGGAAGTCCCCCACTCTACCCATAACATGAGGCATCTTTATTTCAGAGATACTGGTTGATTTGGATAAGTTGCCTTTTGGGTTGTTGGTTGTTGTTTTTCTTTTTTTCTCTCTTGTGCTTTAAATTTCTGCTCTTGTGTTTTAAATTCGCCAACAAAGAGTTAGCCCCTGAAACCCTAGATGCCACTCTCTACTCCAATAAAAGCAGAATCTCAGTCCCATGCTTGTTCTTTCTCTATCCCCGAGCTTGCTGTGTGCTCCTGGCATGTCTTATATGCTCCAGAGCCTGAAGTAATCAACTTTTTTTCTTCAAAGTTTTCTGAAGGCTATTGCTGAAGAGTATCTTGCAACCATAAGGACCACAAGGGTTGGTCCACTCATAACATTGGTTTGGAAGGGGAGATGTCTGCGGATTGCCCTCAGGCATTTCTAACTGGCAGCATTACTATCAATAGGCTGAGACCAGGATCTAAACAGGCATTTTTCCAAAGAAGACATTCTATGGTCAACAGATATATGAAAAGGTGTTACTAATCATAAGGAAAACATTACTAATCATAAGGAAAATGCAAATCAAAACCACAATGAGTTATCACCTCATACCTGTTAGAATGGCTATTATCAAAAAGACAAGCTATAACAAGTGTTGGCGAGGATGTGTACTGTTGGTGGGAATGTAAATTGGTGCTGCCACTATGGAAAGCAGTAGGGAGTTTCCTCAAAAAATTAAAAATGGTGCAGCAATTGCATGTTTGGTATCTATCCAAAGACAAAATCACTATTTAAAGAAGATATTAATAATGCACCCTCACGTTTACTGCAGCATTATTTACAATAGCTGATACATGGAAACAACCTAAGTGTCCACTGGTGGATGAATAAAGAAAATATGGTATACAAACACAATGGATATTATTTAGCCATAAAAAAAGATGAAAATTCAGCCATTTGCAACAACATGCATGAAATTTGAGGGCATTATGCTAAGCGAAATAAGTCAGAGAAAGATAAACACTGTATGATATCACTTATATGTGGAATCTCAAAAACAACTTCCAGTTTAAGATGAGTAAGTTGTGGGGAAGTAATACATAGCGTGGTAACTATAGTTAACAACACTGTATTGTACAATATATTTGAAAGTTGCTAAGAGAGTAGATCTTAAAAGTTCTCATCACAAGAACAAAATGTAACTGTGTGGTGATGGATATTAACTAATTGTGGTAGGCATTTCACAATGCATACATATATCAAATCATTATGTTGTACACCTAAAACTAATACAATGTTATATGTCAATTAT